TATTACACAGTGTTTTTGTCTAGTTGCTATCTTTAAGGCATTCATCATTTTATAATCCTCCTCTATCTTTTGATCTGGTGGGCGATAACAAACTCCCAGTGTTAAGTTTCCTTTTGGCCCCCCTATTTCAACCCATAGAACTTCCAGAAGCGAATCCAATTCACTTAGCCTCTCAATCTTTCTAGACTTTATACCCTCTCTGACATACAGAGCTACCCCACCTCCAACCCTTCCCCCCCTATCCTTCCGATATAATATATAACCGGGAATCACTGTGTCCCACTGATTTTCCTCATCCCACCAAGTTTCAGAAATACCCACAATGTCTATTTTTCCCTCCGAAACCGCTTCCAACTAATTGTCCGAGCTCTTCAGAAAGTGCCCCGCAGCTCCACAACCTGCAGTCAGGTGTGGAGTGGGGCGTTTCCCTCTAAGCCGGCCTCCCGTCGAATGAGCTCCACAACCTGCAGTCAGGTGTGGAGTGGGGCGTTTCCCTCTAAGCCGGCCTCCCGTCGAATGAGCTCCACAACCTGCAGTCAGGTGTGGAGTGGGGCGTTTCCCTCGAAGCCGGCCTCCCGTTGAATGAGCAGGAAAGGAACTGGGAGGCTGAAGCCCCTGGCTCTGTCACAAACCTCAAGGGCATGCTTCGGTGGGGGGGGGCAATCCTGCCATGGAGGGAGGTGGGAATAAGTGGTTCAGTGGGTCCTCCCTTCCCAGAAGGCAGAAACAGGGGGTGGAAGGCACCAGGAAATCTGAAAAACGTTCCCTCCAGTGAAGCAGGTTTGGCAAGCGGTCTCTGCCAGAGGGCTTTCCTTTGGGTACTTTCTCTCCCGAGGCTGCCATCGTCTAGGTGGTGGGTGGAGCTCTCCCGAAAGTACAACAGATATCCAGTCCACAGAGATCAGTTCTCGTGGAGAAAATGGCGACTTTGGAGGCACTGTACCCCACTGAGTATTGGCCTTGGAGTGAGCTCCCCGATGAAAGCACTGAGATTGCAAAGAGCGAGGGGCTCTGGTGAGCATTCTCCATCATCCTTTATTTGGACTCCGGCATCAGCCGTTTGTTCCTGGGATCCAAGATCCCTGCAGACGGTGACTGCAGCCATGAAATTAAAGGACGCCTGCTCCTTGGGAGGAAAGCGACGGCGAACCTTGACAGCATAGTAAAAAGTAGGGACATCATCGCTCTGCCAACAAAAGTCTGCGTGGTCAAAGCGATGATATTCCCAGTAGTCATGTATGGCTGCGAGAGTTGGACTATAAGGAAAGCCGAGTGCTGAAGAACAGATGCTTTTGAATGATGGTGCTGGAGAAGACTCTTGAGAGTCCCTTGGACTGCAAGGAGATCGAATCAGTCGATCCTACAGGAAATCAACCCTTACAATTCCCTGGAAGGACAGATGCTGAAGCTCAAAGACTTTGGCTCCCAAATGAGAAGGGAGCACTCCCTGGATAAGACCCTGATGCTGGGAAAGATTGGAGGTCGAAGAAGAAGGGGACGGCAAAGGATGAGATGGTCAGACAGTGTCATCGAGGCAATGAACATGAAATTGAACAAACTCCGGAGGACGACGGAGGACAGGAGGGCCTGGCGTGATGTGGCCCATGGGGCCGCGGAGAGTCGAACTCGACACTGCGACTGAACAGCAACAACATCATTAACATATGCATCAGCGGAAGTGTGTCAGAAGGGGAAGCAAAAAAGGGGGGTGGCATCTTCAAACGTCTCCCCTTCCCTTCCCCAGCAGGCCTGCCAAGGCGGGGTGGGGGGGAAGAGAGAAGGGGTTTAAAGTTTAAACGCCTTCTCTCTAGAGTCGCGCCGCAGGGGTGCCACAATCTTTCCACTGTATTCTACGGCAGGCTGGCTGGAGAAGGAAAGGAAGCCAGGCATTTAATTCCCCCCTGGGGGGCAGGGCCTGGGCTCGTTTCAGCCGGAGCACCACTCCGGGGAGCTCCAGTAGGAAACGACCCCTGCGCCCACTGATGTTTTTAACTCTTGGCCCTATGTGAGTTTTCTAAACTTCCTTTGGAGGTGTTAACAGGAGCTTCTTTAGTCCTCGGCTACCTTTTCAAACCGACAGCTGCCTGTGGAGGAGTGGGTGAATCAAACCCGGTTCTCCCAGATTAGAGTCCGCGCACTTAACCACGACACCAAACGGGCCCCTATTGTTTATTGTCAGTTCGCTGATGCTTTATACTCTTTGGCCGGCCAAGTCATATGCATAACGTAGTCTGTGTCTTAAGGCTTTGACATATTTCTGATGAGCTATCTCAGGTTTCATTCCAAAACATAAATTAATACGCATTCCTGGTTGCCTTCTAAACTTTGGAAGCAGGGGGATTCTCCCATAGTATCAGTCTCCCATAGAAGAAGAGGAGGAGGAGGTGGAGATTGGATCTATACCCCGCCCTTCACTACTCAAAGGTGTCTCAGAGTGGCTAACAAACTCCTTTCCCTTCCCCTCCCCACAACAAACACCCTGTGAGCAATGCTCCCTCTTAGCTGTGGAGTCTTGTGAGCAAAAATTCTACTTTGTGAGCTACTGGCATTAAGATTGTGAGTGAGCAATTTGGGTACTGCAGAAACTGCTCTGACAGAAACTGCTATTTCTTTCAAGAACAGCTGTGCCAGAACTATGGCTTGCCCAAGACCATCCATCAGGTGAATGAGGAGGAGTGGGGAATCAAACATGGTTCTCCCAGATTAGAGTCCACAAACTTAACCACTACACCAAACTTGGTCCTACACAAAACTGTTACATATATATTTCCAGTTACTTTTCTTTCCTGCTTTTAAGGTGCCTAGTGAATGCTAAAGATTACGATTGACCCTCTCTACCGGGTTTCCTCTAGGATTTTATCCTGTAGTATATGACTTAGTCCCAACGGTTTTACTAAACTCCACCGTTGGTTCTGAGTCAAAACTTCCACCTTGGTCTCTGTGGATTCGGATGTGAAATCCATGGTGACTTATGAAATCCCCCCAAAGTGCTGTAGCAACAGTCTTGCTGTCCCAACTCTACTAGGAAATGCCTGTGCATATTTGGTGAAGCCATCAGTGACCACTAGACTGTTTTTAAAGCACGTTGCAAAGAGGCTGTGCCAGTTAAAGGAGGGCAAGGCTTTATGTAGACTAACTCAGTAGCTCTATTGCCTGGGTCATCTTAGGCCTAGAGATTCTGTCCTTGGCCAAATCCAAGGTCCTTTCTACCCTGATGTGACCCATTGCTTTGAGGATGTCTTTCAGAGTTCTTTTTTCATGGGTGTAGGCAGGGGGTCATTTTGTAGAAAAAGAGGTGCAGGAGCTCATTTGCATAACTCATTTGCATATGCCACACCCCCTGAAAATGGGCAGGTACCCTACCTGATCTTCTCCAGGTGCCCCGTGGCCACGGGGCACCTGGAGAAGATCAGGCAGGGAACCCAGGCATGCTTACAATGCCCCAGATAGGGAAGGGAAAGAAAGGCATTTAAATCCCCCACCCCACTTCCCCGCGGAGGCATGGCTGGGCAACCAAAGGACAGGCATGCAAGCATGCCTGGGCTCCCTACTCCTAGGTTTGTTACTCCTGGAACGCCGTTCCGGCTCGTCCCCCCTCGAAATGACCCCTGGGTGTAGGATACCACTGCCCTGATCTGGATCGCCCAGGCCAGCCTGATCTTGGAAGCTAAGCAGAGTTCTCCTGGTTAGTCCTTGGGTGTGAGACCACCGTGGAAGTCCAGGGCTGCTCTGCAGAGGCAGGCAAGGGCAAAACCACCTCTGTCCATCTGCCCTGACCTGGATGGGGCAGGCTAGCCCAGCCTCAGAAGCTAAGCAGGGTCGGCCCTTCTTAGAACTTGAATGGGAGACCACCAAGGAAGTACAGGGTTTCTATGCAGAGGCAGGCGAGGGCAAAAACCACCTCTGAATGTGTCTAGTGTTGAAAATCATGTGGGCTCCCCATAAGTTGGCTGCCTCTTGACGGCACCTCCTACCACCAGGTTACCACTAATTACTCCATGCCTACTCCTTTTCATTGTACTTTTCTCCAGCTGCCTTGGTGGCCCTTGCAAGCAATGCCCCCTCTAAACTGTGGAGTTTTATAACTGTCAGAGTGATTGAGCAGTGGAACTGTCTGCCTCAGGAGGTGGTGGATGCTCCGTCTCTGGACGTTTTCAAGTGAAGACAGGATGACCATCTTCCGGGTTTGTTGTAGGGCTCTCTTTCGGCTCTGCTTCTGCAGAGTGAAGGGGGTCAGATTCGATGACCTGCATGGTCCCTTCCGACTCTTAATATTCGATGATTCTATGATTCTAATGTCCAGTTGGTGCCCTCTTGGACGTGAAATGATCTAGAATCCTAGAATCACAGAGATGAAGGGGGCCATAGAGGCCATCTAGTCCCACCCCCTGCCCAATGCGGGATCAACCTAGAGCATCCCTGACAAGGGTTTGTCCAGCTGCTGCTTCAAGACTGCCAGGGAGGGGGAGCTCACCACCTCCCCAGGCAGCTGATTCCACCGTTGCACAATTCTTACTGCCAAAATGTTTTCCCTAAGATACAGCTGGTACCTTCCCACCCTCAGTTTATACCCGTTATTGCAAGTCCTCTCCTCTGCTGCCAAGAGGAACAGTTCCTTGCCCTCCTCCAAGTGACAGCCCTTCCAATACTTCAAGGGAGCCATCCTGTCCCCCCTCGACCTCCTCTTCTCCAGACTGAACCTTTCCAAGAATTCCCTCAGCCTTTCCTTGCAGGGCTTCTTGGTCTCCAGGCCCCCCCCCCCAATCATCCTCGCTGCTCTCCTTTGCACCCGCTCCATTCTATCCACATCCTTTTTGAAGGGAGGCCTCCAGAACTGCACACAATAATCTCAACACGTTTTGGAACTTGCAAGGGTGTCTTTAATCATGGTTCCCCTCCAGCATGACAATTCAGAGTGAAGAGAGAATTAAGCTATCTTCGTGTGCCTTGAGTGGAAAGATGACAGAGAGAAGAAGGGAGTCCGGGACAGTGGAGGCGGAATTCAGGGCCCGAGTTGGTACATCGACTCTTGACAGGAGCAGTTCTTCCACACAGACGGCTGTCAGTGATTCCGGGCTTCAGACCAGGTTATTCTACCAAAGAGAAATGGGGGTTATGGATCCAGGACCGTCCACATGCTGTCAGAACCACAGCTTTCAAAAAGAATAAACGTTTATTGAAAAGTATTATCTATTTGAAGCTATGATGAAGCTGGAACAGAAGCATTGTTTAGAATGACTACAATGGCCGGCACACAGAATAATAAACGGATTCAAACAACACATAACCAATCAATATGGTTCCCGCTCCCGCGGAAAGGCTGGCAGACGCGCGCCCAACAGCCTGGGAGCCAACGGCTTCCTAAAGATGAACAATTAACAGTTTCTCACACTAAGCTTCATTAGAGAGCCAGAGAAGCTTACCACCTGCCTGACCTTGCTGATACGATAGTTCAAAGCAGCGTTAGCGTATACTGAAAGGAATGCATGAGACCAGAAACATTGTAAGCTGAGTACAAGAGACTTGCGCAGTTGCATACACTACAAAAGGGGATGGGGAATCCCAAGGGCAGGACTTCAGGCCTAGACAGAACTCTATGGCAGCTTGCTGACACATGCCTGACAGTGAAACCGACTTATCTAGATACAATGGGACCTTCCGGGCTGCCCTTTCCCCCCTCTCTCCCCTCCCACCAACCTCTCGGCTGACCGTCAGAACGCTCCCCATATCCATTCTACGGCAACATAAACTGAAACACTGATATTGGTTTCTTATCCCATTACACATGCTAACTCATTCAATCCTCACGTATGTATTCTCACCAAGATGGGCTGTACATCCCCTATATGTTGATGTTTTTCTTTTCTTTTTTTGAGATAGTATATTATAATAGTGATTGTAATGCAATGCGATATCTTGTTCATCTCCGATGTAACCCTGTACCCCAGGAAAAGGATTATGTCAGTTACCTCCATGTTTTATTGAAGCAAAATGTTATCACTACTCTTTGCAATTAAGAATGTAATTGAATATGTAATGTAATTTGGAATGGTAGATTTAGATGCAGTTCTTTGTTTTGGGGACAAGGAAAACACACTGCACAGCCAAGATGCTGTAAAATTCACCTCCATGCTTGAAAGGAGATGGATGTGGGGGGTCAAAGGATGGGATTCTCACAAATTAGAGCACATCAACCTCCAGTTCTAACATGTTTATTACCTAGGTTGTCTGTCCCCCCCCCCAGTTCAACCAAAACTGATGATAACCAGGAATTAAGCTCGTCATCCTTTTGATCTGTTAAAAAAAACTGTCCTCACTATTTTGCATGCTTATTTAACAAACCACTCCTATATACGCAACTATGATATGTAATTCCATTTCATTGTCTGACGAAGTGTGCCCGCACCCGAAAGCTCACACCTGGAATAAAACTTTGTTGATCTTAAAGGTGCCCCACTGGACTCTAACTTCGTTCTATAAACTGAAACAGTTAGTAGAAACCATTTTAAACCATTTTAAACCATTGCTAATGTGATATTGTAAACCTCATCGCCCTGGACAATTTTGTGTCAACCGCAAATTTAGCCACTTCACTGCTTACTCCCAACTCCAAATCATTAATGAACAAGTCAAAAAGCACCGGACCCAGTACTGAGCCCTGCAGTAACCCACTGCTTACCACCCTCCACTGAGAAAATTGCCCATGTTGAACAAAACAGGTCCCAAGACAGATCTTTGAAGCATTCCACTTGTCACTCCTTTCCAAGAGGATGAGGAACCATTCACAGGCACTTTTTGGGTGTGAAATGTCAACCAGTTACAGATCCACCTAACAGTCATAGGATCCAAGCCACATTTCACCCATTTTGCCAACAATATTATGTCAAACCTTATCAATAGCTTTACTGAAATCAAGATAAACTACGTTTACAGTATTCCCCTGATCCAGCAAGGTAGTAACTTTTTTTTTTAAGAGTGAGATAGACATAAGGTTAGCCTGACATGACTTGTTCTTGAGAAACCCATGCTGGCTCTTAGTAATCAGAGCCGTCCTTTCTAAACGCTCAAGGACTGTCTGTTTGATGATTTGTTCTAAAACTTTCCCAGGTATAGACGTCAAGCTGATGGGTCGGTAGTTAGCCGGATCCTCCTTTTCCCCCTTCTTCAAGATGGGGACAACATTTGCCCACCTCCAATCTTCTGGCACCTCACCTGTTCTCCAAGAATTCGGAGAACTTAGGTATGGAACATAGGTATGGCCCAGACTAGGTATGGACTAGGTACGGCCCAGGCTAGCCCAATCTCATTGGATCCTGAAAGCTACACAGGGTTGGCCCAGGTGGGTCTTCGGAGGGGAGACCACCCAAAAAGTCCCGGGTTGCTGTGGAGAGGCAGGCTACGGCCGACTCCCACCTGCCCCCCCTACCTTGGAGGCTGCAGACTGGTGAGGGATGGGAGGACGTCTTGGGCAAGGGAGAAAAGGCGGAAGGAGGGGAGGAAGGGTCACGGATGTGGGGCAGAGGACTGCGTTCGTGCAGCTGGCCCTTCTCCCCTAACTGCCCCAGCCCTCCTTCAGGTTCAGTGGCGGGGCCGTGGCTCTGTGGGAGATGACCCGCTCTGGGTGCAGGAGGTCCCGGGCACGTTCCCCCAGCGCCCCCACCTGCAAGGGACGTTGTTTCGGGGGGGGGGGAATCTCGGGTGAAACCCTTGCCTGGTGCTGGGGACAGGCCGGGAGTCAACCTGGAGTGAAGCAATAGCCCCCTCCCCAGTTCCCCTTTCCGGCAATCTTCAGGCTGCGTCCGCACTCCAGAGACCCCGGCTGGCTTCAGCACCTCTGTTTGCGCCACCTCTCTCAACCCATCTTGGCCTTCCAAATCCGTCTCATGCTCAGAAGCAAAAAAAGAACACTGCAACACATGAAGCTGCCTTAGACTGGATCAGAACTACTGGTCCAGCCAAGACAGTTCGGCCCACTTAAAAGGGCTGCAGCTCTCCAGGGTCTCAGGCAAAGAGGCCTTCCCCATCACCTCCTGCCCGGTCCTTTTAACTGGAGATGCTGCTGGGGATTGAACCTGGGACCTTCTGCATGCCAAGCAGAGGCCCTTCCACTGAGCCATGGCCTCTCAGTGTACAGCTGTCCTGCGGAGCTCCCATGGGTGGAATTCCCTCCTTGTACCCTGGTGGCCCCCGTACCAGAGGCCAGGCTGTGGCTTCAGGGCCGTGGACTTCCCTTACCTCCAGAGACCCTCACGCAGTCACGGCCACAGCCGTTGCTATGGCATTTTGCTCCTTCAGAACAAGTTGCGCACAGTGCCCAGCGTCTTGAGGTCTGGGGCGTCTTCCGGGAGACCTCGGGGGACGCACTGGAAGGAAGACAGAAGGGCTGAGAGGCAAGGGGAGGGGGGACCATTCCAGAGAGTGGGCACAAGAGGGCACGTGTGTATGGCTGCCAGCCAGGACAGCTGATTTTCCCCGCCAACCTGGGGGGGGGGATACTGTGGGTAAGGTTGCCAATCTCCAGGCGCGGCCAGGAGATCTCCCAGAATCACAACAGCTCTCTAGACTACAGAGTTCAGTCCAGACCAGTTCTCCTGGTGGAAATGGCTGCCTTGGAGGGTGGGTTCACCCTGCTGCGGACCCTCCTCTCCTCTCCCCGAACCCTCCTCCTCTTCCCAAGCCCTTAGTTATGGCCCAGACTAGGCCAACCACATCGGATCCTGGAAGCCACACAGGGTTGGCCCAGGTGGGTCTTCAGAGGGGAGACCACTCAGGAAGTCCCAGGTGGCTGTGGAGAGGCAGGCCACGGCCGACTCCCACCCGGACCCCCAGCATGGAGGCTGCAGACGGGTGAGGGATTACAGAAAAGGGGGAAGGAGGGGAGGAAGGACCATGGATGAGGGGCAGAGGACTGAGTTCTTGCAGCTGGCCCCTCCTCTCCTAACTGCCCCAGCCCTCCATCAGGTTTAGTGGAGGGGCCGTGGCTCTGTGGGAGATTGCTTGCTTTCGGTGCAGGAGGTCCCAGGCATGTTCCCCCAGGACCCCCACCTGAAAGGGACGTTGTTTCAGGGGGGGTCTCGGGTGAAGGCCTTGCCTGGTGCTGGGGACAGGCCGGGAGTCACACTGAAGCAGCAGCCCCCCAGTCCTCCTTTCCGGCAACATTCAGGCTGTGTGTGCGCACTCCAGAGCCCCTGGTCAACTTCAGCACCTCTGTCTGCCCCTCCTCTCTCACCCCATCCCTGCCTCCCGTATCCATTTCATGCTCGGAAGCACCAAAAGAACACTGCAGCACACAAACACATGAAGCTGCCTTAGACCGGATCAGAACCAGTTTGGCCCACTTAAACGGGCTGCAGCTCAACAGGGTCTCAGGCAAAGAGGTCCTTCCCATCACCTCCTGCCCGGTCCTTTTAACTGGAGATGCTGCCGGGGATTGAACCTGGGACCTCCTGCATGCCAGGCAGAGGCTCTTCCACTGAGCCACGGCCCCTTCCCATAGTTCTCCAGGGTCTCAGGCAGAGGTCTTCCCCATCACCTCCTTCCCGGTCCTTTTAACTGGAGATGCTGCTAAGGATTGAACCTGGGACTTTCTGCATGCCAAGCAGAGGCTCTTCCACTGAGCCACAGCCCCTTCCCATAGCTCTCCAGGGTCTCAGGCAAAGAGGTCCTTCCCATCACCTCCTTCCCGGTCCTTTTAACTGGAGAGGCTGCCAGGGATTGAACCTGGGACCTCCTGCATGCCAAGCAGATGTTCTATCACTGAGCCACAGCCCCTTCCCATAGTTCTCCAGGGTCTCAGGCGGAGGTCTTTCCCATCACCTCCTGCCCGGTCCTTTTAACTGGAGATGCTGCCGGGGATTGAACCTGGGGCCTTCTGCATGCCAAGCAGATGTTCTATCACTGAGTCATGGTCCCTCTTTGTACCGCTGTCCTCCAAAGTTCCCATGGGTCAAATTCCCTCCTTGTACCCTGTTGGCACCTGTATCGGAGGCCAGGATGTGGCATCAGTGCCGTGGACGTCCCTTACCTCCAGTGGCCTTCATGCACTCGTAGCCACAGCCGTTGCTGCAGCATTTTTCTCCTGCACGACAGTCGACATCCCTGGTGCAACGATCCGCACAGTGCCTAGCACCTTGAGGCTTGGGGCAGTGTCCGGGAGTCGTTGGGGGACGCACTGGAAGGAACACAGAAGGGCTGAGAGGCAAGGGAAGAGATCTCCCAGAATTAGAACAGATCTCTAGACTACAGAGATCATAGAATCATAGAGTTGGAAGGGGCCGCCAGGGTCATCTAGCCCAACCCCCTGCACAAGGCAGGAAATTCACAAATACCTCCCCTTCCACATCCTTAATGAGTCCTGCTCCATGCCCAGAAGATGACCAAAAAAAACGCAAAACCCCTCCAGGATCTCCAGCCAAACTGCCCTGGAGAAAAATTGCCTCCTGACCCCAAAGTGGCGATCAGCATTTCCCTGGTCATGTAGGAAAGGGCCACGAGAATTAAGCACTGAAGCTGTAACCCTCCCTGCCCTCCCACTCGTGATCTGCCCGAGTTCACACAATCAGCACTGTTGTCAGATGGGGCCCTCCAGCCTCTGTTTGAAAACCTCCCAAGAAGGGGAGCCCGCCACCTCCCGAGGAAGCCTGCTCCAAACCGCTCTGTCAGGAAGTTTAGCCGAAAACGCTTCTGGTTTAATTTCAACCCGTTGGTTCTGGTCCGACCTTCTGGGGCAACAGAAAAGAACTCTGTTCTACACCTGACAGACACCCGCCTGTTTGGTGTTGGGGGGGAGTGTGTTTAAAAGCATCAGTGAGGCTGGGCCAGCAGCAGGGCTAAGGCAATCCTGCTGAGCAAGTGTCAGCAAGCTGCCAAATTTTGTGATTGTAGTAATGTATGGTCTATGCACTCTGCACATGCTTTGTTCCTGTTGATTGCAAACTGTGTAATTCCCTCCTACATTGTGTATTGTTTATTATCCTTCGCTTAGCAACCCAGACGCATGCTCAGACGTAGAGCTTGTTAGGGAACCATGCAGTATTCAAGGCCAAGCAGGTGTGTGATAAGGATGGCGGCAGCTTTTTGTTTTAATTAGCAGAGCCTGAGAAAAGCTTAGTAACAATAACTGGAGCGTTTTGGTTCTCAGCTAGTTGGCGCCTTGAATGCCCAAGCGGGAAATAGACTCATTGGCTTAGCAGCGTTTTGAAATCCGTTTATATCTCTTGCTATGAGCCTTCCATGTTATTCTAAACAGAAACCTTTCTAGTGACTCATTGATTCAATAAAATCCTCTTTTCTACAAGAAGTGAGTACGTTGTTTTGATGGGACCTTGACAGCAAGCCTCCCTGACAGCTGTAAGCATCCCACCCCTACACCTGACAGGCAGCTGCCTGTCCAGTGTAGGAAGGGGAGTATGTTTGAAGCCATGGGGAGGCTGGCCCAGCAGCTTTGCTGCCCCTCACAGGTGGTTCTTTGGGCACTCATGATTTCCTCAACTGTCATTAGCTGTCTGCAGTCCCCTGTAACTGTTGGCTTTTTTTCACCTCAGAACACTGAGCTCTGCAGCTGACCAATCAGAGAGTGGGGGGTGCTGGGAGGCAGCCGCACAGGAATGAATGGGGGGAGCACATTTCCCCCCTTTTGACCCATTTAGGGGTCGGATTTCTAAAAAAACCCTTCTTAGCGAGCAACTGTAAAATCAATGCCCAGGCAAAACCGCTGGACCTAGAGACACCAAATTCGGGGAGAGCACTCCTACCGTGGCGTAGGTGCTCGCAAAGAAGGGGTTTTTAGAAACCCGACCCCTGTCATAAGGGGTAAAATGTGCTCCCCCATTGATTCCTATGAGGCTGCTGTCTACTTGCTGTCTACTTGCACCCCCCACTCTCTGATGGTGCAGCTGCAGAACTCAGCATTTAGGGTTGCCAGCCTCCAGGTGGGGCCTGGAGGCCTCCTGTTTTTACAACTGATCCCCGGCTGACAGAGATCAGCTCCCCTGGAGGAGAAAAGGGCTGCTTTGGAGCGTGGGCTCTAGGGCACTGTACCAGGCTGAGGCCCCTCCCCTCCCCAAGCCCCGCCCTCTCCTGGATCCACCCCCAAAGTCTCCAGCTATCTTCCAATCCAGACCTGGCAACCCTAGGACCCTCCCCACCCCAAATCCACCCCCCCAGGCTCCACCCCCAAATCTCCATGAATCCCCCAACTTGGAGTTGGCGCCCGTAAGTAGTCGAGAACTGAGACAGCACCAAGATTGATCAAATCTCTGGGTGGTGGCACCTGGCAGAGTCTGTTCCAAAATTAAAAGCCGGAAGGGGCTGTTTTTTAAAAATTGAACTTCTAACAGCCTTAGTGTGTACATAGGACCATAAGAGAACATAAGAGAAGTCAACGTTGGATCAGGCCAATGGCCCCTCCAGTCCAACACTCTGTGTCACACAGTGGCCAGAAATACCAGGTGCCATCAGGAGATTCCACCAGTGGGGCCAGGACACTAGAAGCCCTCCCACTGTGCCCCCCCAAGCACCAAGAATACAGAGCATCACTTGCCCCAGACCGAGAGTTCCTACCTATACCTTGTGGCTCAGAGCCACTGAGGGACCTCTGCTCCAGATGCTTATTCAGTTCCCTCTTATAAGAACATAAGAGAAGCCAGTGTTGGATCACGCCAATGACCCATCCAGTCCAACACTCTGTCACACAGGGGCCAAAAATACCAGGTGCCATCAGGAGGTCCAGCAGTGGGGCCAGGACACTAGAAGCCCTCCCACTGTGCCCCCCCAAGCACCAAGAATACAGAGCATCACTTGCCCCAGACCGAGAGTCCCTATCTATACTGTTATGTCCGCTGACCGCCACCAGGAGTCAGCGAATACTCCTGAGCTTGAATCTGTACAAACAATAGGGACTAGGATCCTAGCCTCTTCACTTGGGAACCAATAAAACCGTGGCGGGAGATTTGACCCCACCAACGGGACCTAGGGGTGTCCCCCAGGTGTGTATATAGTTGGCCATCCGGCCAGTATTCTGTGTTCTTGTTGTGTACCAGTAAACCATGCTGATCACTGCATCCATCTCTGTGGTTCCTACATGCGTCTAACCCACTACACTTCATATACATTGTGGCTAAGAGCCCCTGATGGACCTCTGCTCCATATGCTTATCCAATTCCCCTTTGAAGCCGTCCGTGCTTGTAGCCGCCGCCACCTCCTGTGGCAGTGAATTCCATGTGTGAATCACTCTTTGGGTGAAGAAGTGCTTCCTTTTATCCCTTCTAACCCGACTGCAGCTGGGGTTTTAGGAGGACAAAGCCCTAACCCAGAGCACCCAAGTCCTCGGGGAGGGGGTGGGAAGAGTGGGCATGGGCAGGGTGCCTTTCTGAAGTCTCTCAAGGATGGAATGATGGGAAGGAGTCTGCTTGCAGCCCGGGCGACTGAGGGGATGAGAGGTGGGGCCTCCTTTCCCTCCCCCTCTTCCTCCCCCTGGCTGCTACCCACTCCCCTCTCTCCCAGGAAGACAGAGGAAGGGGGGGGGGATAAAGGTCTTCCATGAAGCCTGTGGAGAGGGAAGAAGGAGAGGAAGAAGGAAGAGTTGTTTTTTTAGACCCTGGTTTTCTCTACCCTGCTTTTGAGAAGGTGCTTCTCCAAAGACTCCTGAGTTAGCTTAGTGGTCACCGGATAAGAGGACGGGTTCTCTTAGGGATTAAAAAGCAGTTAAATTACAGGAAGTAAAGAGCAGGAATCAATGGACAGTTCTCACAATGGAGGGAAGGAAGCAGTGAGGTCCCACAAGGATCGGTACTGAGGCCGGGACTATTCAATTTAGTCGTCCATGGCCTGGAACCGGGGGGAGTAGTGTAGTGGCCAAGTTTGCAGATGACACCACATTATTCAGCTCGAGCATGTCCAGAAGAGGGCAACCAGGATGGTGAGAGGGTTGGAATCCAAATCTTACAAGGAAAGGCTGAAAGAGTTGGGTCTGTTTCGCCTGGGAAAGAGAAGGCTTAGTGGGGACATGATTGCAGTCTTCAAGTATCTGAAGGGCTGTCATGTAGAAGATGGAGCGGATCTATTCTCTCTTGCTCTGGATGGCAAGACTAGGTCTAATGGGTGGAAATTACAAGGGAGTCGTTACCGGCTCAATATCAGGAGAAACTTCCTAACTGTCAGAGTGGTTGAGCAGTGGAACAGCCTGCCTTGGGGGGGGGGGGATGCTCCTTCGCTGGACGTTTTCAAGCGGAGGCTGGATGGCCCTCTTTCGGGTATGTTGTAGGTGTTATGTATTCAGATGGACTTTGAATGCATGATCCGTATAGGACTTGATGTATGTGAAACATCTCATTGAAGTGCAATGTTAAGCTTCGGCCTGGGCTAGGATCCTAATGTAACCAATAGGAGCACTAGCCCAGGTTGTGTCATCCAATCACCTTACGGAGCGGGAGCGCTCGTGATTGGTCATTATCCGTTCAACCTGATAGGTTGTTATTTGTACAGTGGGAGTGGCTACATTAGCCGGGAAGGTTTAAAAGCAGGCCAGCTTCTGTGTTAAAGCGGTCCTGGCTGACTGATGTTGATCCGTGTTGGAGAAGTAACAAAGCTGAAGAATAAAAGCCGCATTCTTGCTGAATCACTCTCCGACTCTTTGTTAAGTACACGACTTAACAATTGGCGACGAAGGTGGGATTCTAGT